TTGCGGCGACGGCATGGCTCCCACCTTGATTGGGAGCTGTGCGCGTCTCCAAGTCACCTAGCAGGTTGTCCAGGTGGTCTATTATGCCATCAAGCCGGCTCTCCACACCGTCCGCGATGCCTTCGGCCGCCTCGAGTCTCCGGAGCAGTTCGGCGACGTCAGGATCGGATTCATCGAGGTTCTGTGACAAGAGGTTGGACAAGAGAGCGATGTCTGCCTCCAATGAGTTCGATGTTGAGCCAACCGCGACCTCAACCTTGCGGTCGTTGCCGTTCGAGAGCGCCTCGGGCATATAGACAAGAGAAGATAGTTGAACGCGATGAGCGGATGGTCGCAGCAGCCAAGACGAACCCGCGAAGAAGCGCTCATCACCGGTATGATGTAGGCAGTACCGCTAAGGTTAGGGTTCTCTGGCAATTGTCTACCTTAACTTTGAAACTGTCCTCTATGCTTGCCCAAAAAATACCACCGAGTTGTCTACGTTGAGAAGCTGAATAATGAGATACTGCACCACCGTCCTGCACCGAGAAGCATCGCGCGGGCTCCAGCGGGACAGCCTGAGGTTTACTCAAACTACGAGACTTGCCATTTTGAGAATGTGATCGGTGCTAAGCGTCGTAACTTGTAGTACGCCCAACGCGACGCAATAGCACTGTACCTACATCCGCCATCGAAGCCGCGTACCAGGCTCTCTCGCCCCCCCGCTTCTCGCTGAATCTTGGTTCCATTGTCTCCAGGTCCTGCTCTTGAGCGCTGCTTGACTATTGACTGCCTAGCCGTATTGCTTGGCGGTTGCGGCTCCTAGTACTTGCCTTTGCCCAGCATGCAGTCTCTCCGGTCTCGCAAGCCCTCGGAGTCGCGCCCCAAGGGCGCACAACGCCAGGGAACGGTACGCGCGCCCAAACCCGCGCCTCGAAATGCAGAGCGTCGGGCGACCCGCGTCGGGGAGAAGATGAAGAAGCGGATGTCAATGCGCTACGCCGACATCTCTGCGCCCACCGATGTATCTGTCCCCGATGTGCCCGCCATTCCGATTGGCATGCGTGCGGCGCCGTACATGCAGGAGGAACAACGCTTTACGGAGGAGCCAAAAGAGGACCCCATGATCTCGGAGCTGAGGCTGTTGGATAAGGACGACTTTGACCCTGATGCTTGTGCGTATGTGTAGTAATGTCCGCGATATGCTCCTTATGACCGGTGAACAGACCTGAAGCTGAAACTCGCCAACTCTACTGAGGCGGAGCTCAGGTCATTACAGTCCTCACTGCAAGCACAGAAGGATGGCGTGGCTGTGGACTTACAGAAGAACGTCTTCAAGAAGTCTGTATCGTATCTGTTCTCTGAAGCTGCGCCCTAACTGTCGCCACCAGCTATGCCGAGTTCATGCTCGTCTCCAAGGAAGTCAGCACTCTGGAGAACGAGATGCTCGAGTTCAAAGAAGCGCTTGCAGAATGGAAGGGCATGCCTTCTCTCCTCCACATTGACGACTCTGCGTCTGTCGCTGGTTCGTACCATGATACCCATCATTAAAGTCCATGCCGCTAATGGTCCATGGCAGAGCGACGACGAAACGTCCGTTCATCGATCGCCGACCTCCGCATTTTGTACGCGAACCAGATGCAGAACCTACACATGCAGATCGAAGGCTCTTCCAAGTTCGTGCCGACCACACCAGGGCGGCACGTCATCACCGAGGTTGACAATGTCGTTGCACTCAACCCTGCAACGTATAAGGTGGACCACCCTGTGCGCTTCGTGCTCCTTGACGATGCAGTTCTCGTAGCACGGAAGCGTAAGCGTAGGAACAATGCCGAAGCAGACAAGCTGGTAGCGGAGCGATGCTGGCCTCTGAATGAGATGCTTGTTCTGGATACGAAGGATACCCCTAGTCAGTCATCTCCGTGGTCCATCCGCTCGGTGTACTGACGCCTCTGCCAGACATGACCAACGTGTTCAAGATCCGGCATGGGAAGGAGACGCACGTATACCGCACGGAGATCTCTGTAGACAAGAAGAACCTTCTCTCGCAGTTCAGGCAAGTCGCGGAAGAGCTCGCAGCGAAGAAGCGCAAGGAACGCGAGGGCGAGCACCAGCGACGCAAGAGCATGTGGATGGGCGGTGACGTGCGTCAGCTCCCAAAGACGCTCGTCAAGTGTCACTAACATCCAACTCAGCGCGGCTCTTTCGCATTCAACGGCGAAGGCGTCCCACCCCTGCCTGAATGGATGGCCGACCTCGCGACCAAGTCCGGCGAGATGGGCGCGACGGCCAAAGAGAAGGCAGAACGCGACGCACGGTGGATCGGTGACTGGTCTGACGAGCTCACCGTCGCGATCGCCCTGCGCGAATGGGACCGCGCCGTCGCGCTCGTCGAAGAGGGCGAGGGCAAACTGAGCGTGATGCCCCCGCTCGGCGCCAAACTCACCCCGCTCAAGGCGTCGCTCACCGCAGCGCTCCTCCAGAGCCTTTCCGCGCCGTCGAACAGGAAGTCGACGGTGGTGAACCTCATTGGGCTGCTGGTGAGGCTGAAGGCAGGCGCAGCGGCGCGGAGCACGTTCCTCGCCGCAAGGGCGGACGTGATCAGGAAGTGCGTGCGGAAGATCACGTTTGAGGGCCATATAGGAATGTATATTGGCGACCTGGCGACTGTGGTGTTCACGGGCATCAAACACACGGCGGACTGGTTTCTCGCGAGTTTCAACCAGAACGAGGTCGCTAGCAGTGAGTGCATGCAGTGTAGGCAACGATGATAGGGACCTCGACTAACTGTTCTCAGGCTTCGTCGAATGGGCGAAACAGCAGATCGAGATGTACGCGGAGATGTTCCGGAAGCAGGTCTACAGCTCGGACGTTGACTCCGCCGCCATCGACGAAGCTATCCAGATCACGCACGTACAGAGCAAGAAGGCACGTACTCCTTTCCCTACCCAGTCTCACTGCTAACCGATCCCTATAGCTCCTCGAAGAGTACGGCATCGACTTCCGCTTCCTCCTCGACAACCTCTTGGTCGAGAAACCCAAAGAGAACGCCCGCCCGCCACCCTTTCGCACACACACCGAACGCGCACCCGACCCAATCCACACGCCCGCCTCCACGCCCGTGCGTTCACGCTCTCCCGCACCTACGTCAGCTTCCACCCCCTCCCGCTCGCGCACGCCCGTCCCCGCCGTGCCCCCTCTCCCCTCTTCCACCAATCCACCACCGTCGGCGATGCCCTCGCTTGCCGTGCCTACGCCAGTCTCTGCGTCCCCCGGACGCTCCTCGCCGTCTTCGACGAGGATGCGCTCTCCGATGCCTGTGCCGCCGCGTACGGCGAGCGCGGCGTCGTTCAGAAGTCAGACTCCGACGAACGAGGGGAACGGGTTCATGAGGCCACCGCGTGGGAGTCCGGCGCCGCCACCGAGGTCGAGGGACCGTCCGGGGAGTGCGGCCGGGCGTCCGCCCCCAGTGGAGCTGCCCAAGAGACAGGGCATGTTCTGAGTGGGTTTGTTGATATACCATGGTGGATAGTCCGCACTGGGAGTGTATTGTAGGATAGGAGTAAGTTATATCACCCGGCTCGACTCACTCCTTGCCTCGGTCTATTGCTATCGGGCCCTCAGTTGGTCACAAAACGCGGCAACGCCGGGAACTACCCTGGACAGCCTCCACTTCTATCTGCTTGCCTGACGAGATGTTGCTACGAGCTGTCTACTGGATGTCTGGCGTCAAACATCTCTCGCAGATCTCGCGAAAGTTATGGGTTCGGCGGCTCAAACTCTTGATGTCGGTTCGCGACTGTCATGTACCGCAGGGAGAGGGCGGGCTGCAAGGTGTTCTATCAGGTACGAATGCCTCGGATGAGCAGCACCTTTGGTCTAGGGGCTTGTAGATCGCAATGGAGTCCACGCGAATGCATATCTGTAGAGCCATATCTGTGAACGTCACATAAAATGCCGCTTTTACGACGCCTAGTTGCTCGCGAACTCAGAAGACTACGGCCACACTCTGCCCGCTCGTCACGGTATTGTTACATTGCTTGTACTTAGGCGACTCTTCTCTTACATTGCTTCCTCAGTACCTCACGCGACACTACACACGCGCGCATAAATCAGTCTCGATGACAAGGCGCACATACTTCAACAGCACACTCACCTGACGATAGCCTCGATCTCGAAGAGCGCGTCGAGGGGGAGACGCGCGACCTGGACAGCGGAACGCGCAGGCTTGTGGTCTCCGAAGAACTCGGAGTAGATCGCGTTCACAGCCTTGAAGTCGTCCATCGAATGCAGGAACACCTACATCGGATCGCGTTCAGCACCCAACTTCAACGATACCAGGAGGGGTCAGGTGAGGGCATGAAGGACACGTACGGTGGTCTTCACGACCTTGCCGACCTCGCTCCCGCCAGCCTCGATGATCGCCTTCATGTTCTTGAGCGCCTGCCGCGTCTGCGCCTCGACGCCGCCCTCAACCTACACGACACGCGATACGCGCGGAGGTCAGCGCAAGCACATGGCGTTCAGAGAGGAGTGTACTAACCATCTTGCCGGTGGTCGGGTCGAGCCCGAGCGAACCGGAGAGGAAGAGGAGGTCGCCGACGCGCACGCCCTGGGTGTACGGGCCTACCGCGGCGGGTGCGTCTGTTCAAGTCCACGCACACGCGCATTTCATCTTGTAAGCAAGCATACTTGACGCGGATGGTAAGACGCGGGGTGCTCACTGGGAGTCGAGACGAGCGAGAGGGACGAGTGGGTCTGGGTGCTCATCGTGCGTGCGGCGAGTAATAGACTAGGACGAGCGTTGATAGCAGCGCGTGTAGTGAGCGAGACGGTGGAGGTGGAGACGCGTCGGAGAGGAACAGAAGAAAGCAAACGGCGAGCGGGAGAAGAGAGCATCCCGAGTGACTTCCTGAGGTACCTGTGTGGGGGACTCGCGATCCTGCTGCAATCGGGAAGCTCTCAATCCAGAGCGCAGAGGAGGAAACAGTATTACACTATGCTGCTAAACGAAGAGTAACTCTCTGTTAGTATATCGGTTAGTACACGCGCCTGTCACTTGTGCTGACCGCGCGAAAGCGGGGTTCGACTCCCCGACAGAGAGCTGAGAGTGTCTCTATCAATGCGACTTTTTGCTTCGCCCACGGGCCACCTGCCAGCTACCAACGGTACATATTCTCATTGACCATCAGTGGTCAGCACCTACGATCTGAGTCGGGCGTGTGGCGAGATACATGTATCCCGGAGAGTGGCCCATGCAGTTTCGCGACCGAGGAAGCAAGACTTTATACAGCCCAGGAGTAATGTACGCACAGACACTGGATCTACGAAGCACCCCCAGCAGCGAAGCAGAACCAAGCAACGTTCAGCCAGATACACCAATACCTCTAGATCTCCCAAGCATAGATATGCCTTTCACAGCACTCTCCCCAGACCCTTCAAGCCACGTCTTCTCTACACCCCAATCCCACTCGCCCACTCCAGCACCTCAACGCGGTCGCCGACGCGGACGACGCCCTCCCCGCCGACGACCGCGTTGCACCCGAAGCACGGCTTGCTCATGCGCGCTGGGTCCTTGTTCCGCCGGAACTTGAGCAGCACCTTGTACGGCACCGCCGCGTCGCGCGTGCCCGCTGCGGGGTCGACGTTCGGGAGCTGCGAGGCATGAGAGGTCAAGTCAGCGCTGATAAAAGGGGGAGGGGTAAAGAGACGTACGAGACAGCGCGTGCATTTCGAGACTAGCGTGAACGTGCGTGCCTCTTCGTCCCCGGACGAGGACGCACCGTCGTCCGCACCCTGGGCAGGATGGACCCGTATCCGTCTCCACATATCCTCCGCAAACGGCACCCCTGAGCCCTTGAGCACAATATTCGGCCTGAACCGCTCGATCTCCACTCCGCCCTCCCTCCACCTCTCCCTATCAATTCCCCCAATCTTCGCGTCCGGACTCTCGTCCTGCGCGAACGCGCTGACGACGCGGCGCACCTCCTCGAGGCTCTCCTCGCTCGCGACGAGGAACGGGTAGCCGTCCTGGAACGCGGCCCTCTCGCGCAAGTCCGGAAAGGCGAGCGTGGGCGGGCACGGGCGCGCGCGCGGGCCTTTCATGACGAGGTGCACGGGGCGGCCGAAGTAGGCGGAGAGGACCTCCGAGGGGGTGCGCGTCGGGGGAGACGAGGGGAGCGCGCTGGAGACGACGTAGCCGTCGACGAGCACTTTGCCGAACATCTTGCAGTCTTCGATTCTGTGCGGGAGTTTATGTGGGTTGTGGGAAGAGAATAAGAGGGAGGAGAGATGGATTACGTACATGGGCCAGTCGGCGAGCATGTCCGCAGTGGGGTTCAGGGGGATTGCGAACGTCTCGCACCCAGAGTCCTCAGGGAATGAGATGACGAGTCTGCCCCCATAGGGCGAGGTGGTGTCTATCTCGACGCGAGGCGTTATGAGGACCATCTAGAGAGGGACTGGCCGTGAGGTGCGCACGCCTCCTATATGAGTATTCCGTTTACCTTGGAGACTTCCCGGGCTGTTATGATAGCGTGCGTGTCCGCTTCTATAATACACCATTTTCTATCGTTCTGTGAGGGCTCAGGTAAGTATTCAGAGATAGAAGCGCTGTGAAGAGTAGGACATCTGGGACGCGAAGTTACGGGCAGAGGACAGATATGACTCAAGTATAATGTGCGAGACGTCCCCAGCGCTATATATACGGCCAACCCATTAGAAGAGGACATACCTCTAAACCCTCTGGTGTATAACGAGCTTCTTGCAGTGCCGTTCCGCGGCAGCTCTACGCGAAGTCTCTCTTCAGCCACAAGCGTGTACCCCTGAGCAGTTCCACGCACCTTTATAGGATGCATGAGAATCTTCGACACCCGGACGTCGCCCACGTCGAAGGGAACCGTCAGCTCGTGTTCCAACGCATACGCGTTCGCCACGCCGCCTTTAAGGTCATCCTTGAGCTGCTCCGGGGGACACACAGCAGCAGCGCTCCCATTCGCCCCTATCGCGCCGCCCTTCGCGTTGCGGGCGCTGCCCGCGCGCGCCCCGGATTTCCTGCAGACAGTCCATAAGAGGCCGGCGAGGGAGACGGCGAGGACGGAAGCGGTCCAGGTGAGCGAGGCGGAAGTGCCAGAGCGGGCGTACGCGTGCCAGTGATCCAGCAGCAGCTCGTGCAAGGAAAAGGAAACTGCCATGGCTCCCGCTCTCTCGGCGCTTCCCCCGCATCCGTACCTTGCCACGGGCGTCAAAGGTACCGGAGAATGCCGAGTCGCATACCGACCGCCAACGACGTCATCACATTTGCTCTTCGCGGGATTTTGACTTTTCTATGCTCCTCCTGGCGTCCGGTGCCCTCCTTCTCTTAACGGTGCTTGTGCTGGACTATACTCATCATATCCGTTCTATGAGCTTGTACATTTTGACTGTATTATCATTGAGCACAGTCTGGGCCTCGAATGTCTTCTCAAGCGGTACTTTCAGGCTGCACGACTCTGCTAGAGATCCACTCTGAAGTCATGGTGACGCATTCCCCCACCTCATGCAGGGGCAGTTCCAATAATATCAGAACGCCATGGTCCTAGCACTGCGCTGTGCTAAGAATAACACGCTGCTAGGCTCCTGTGGGGTGCTATATACCTGCATGCTGCAACACAGGGTGCTCGAACACACCCTACTCATACCACATCACTGAGCTGCCTGAACCTCACGAAAGTCGACGATCACCATGGCAAACCTCCCCGTCGCGTACAAGACTAACCAGCCCAAGAAGCTGCGGCAGCTCATGAAAGAGAGTACGTACCACACTTCCTGGGCCCATCCTCCTCGTCCCCTTCTCGCCCGCTCCACCATTCCCTAGAATGTCAAGCGCAATGCCCTAACCTCGCTCACCCCTCCCGCCCACAGAGGACTGCATCATCTGCCCCGGCGTCTTCGACGGCATCTCCGCGCACATCGCCAACGCCGCCGGCTTCGACGCGCTCTACCTCGCCGGCAGCGGCGCGTCGGGCTCCGTCATCGGCGAGCCCGACCTTTCCGTCATCACCGGCACCGAGCTCGCCGACACCGCGCGCATGATCGTCAACGTCTGCGACGCGCCCGTCATCGCCGACGCGGACACGGGCTTCGGCGGCCCATTGAACGTCGCGCGTACTGTCGCGCTGTATGAGGGCGCCGGCGTCGCGGGCTGCCATATTGAGGACCAGACGTACCCGAAGCGATGCGGACAGCTTGCCGGCAAGGATGTTGTCGATCTGGAGACGTACCTGGAGCGTATCGTTGCGGCGGTGAAGGCGAGGCAGAATCCGGATTTCTTGATCATCGCGCGTACGGACGCGCGGAACGCGACCAAGTTCGGTGGAGAGAAGGCAGGCGAAGAGGCTTTCCAGGAAGGCGTAAAGAGGTACGCCTACAATGGCTCCACGGGAAGGTATCGAGACTCAGTAGCGTCATGACAGGTTGAAAGCTGCACTTGAGGCTGGTGCAGATGTTGCCTTCATGGAGAGCCCGCGCACGAAGGATGAGGCCGAGAGGCTCGTCAAGGCCCTCGCGCCCCACCCGTGCATGATCAACGTCCTCCCGAACGGTCTCACTGGCAACTATACCACGGAGGACTGCAAGCGCCTCGGCTTCAAGCTCGCGATCTACCCGTGCACTGGCTTCAGTACGTCTTCTGATTTGAGTTCTTGGAAGAGACAAAGTACTTACAAATCGCAATGTACAGTCCCCGCCGCCATCGCGATGGAGAAGTCGTACGCTGCGCTGCGCGACAAGGGCACCGACCTCGACCACTGCGGCGGCTGGCAGATCAAGGACTTCTTCGAGGTGCGTTCCGTTCTTCTCTACCTCCCATCTCATCTGGTACTCACTAGTCGCGCTGCATACAGAGAGTCGGCCTCAAGGCGTCCTGGGACTTCGACCGAGAGGTCGCGGAGAGGACGCGCTCGGACATCAACCCGAAGAAGTACGAGGAGATGCAGGGCCACGACCTGTCCTGAGTGGATGCGATGAGGAGAAGCGATCTGTAGATGCGCGAGGCTTGTTGCTTGGATGACGGACTTGGACTTCTGGACTGCCTTCTCGCTCCTGTTGTTTTGAACATGTGTACTTGTGTGTACGACTGTTACTGATTGATGTTCGAGCGCTTGAGAGTTGAGAATTCGCGTGGTGGGCAAGGTGGGTGGTCCAGAGGACACGTTCCATCCGAGGGCAGTGTGCTGCATACATGATGTTACAAGTTACAACGAACGAGACTTCTTCACCTGGCAATGGGCATCTAAGCTCGCTTCCTCTATTGCCGCTCCTAGAATCCTCTCAACAGCCATAACGATAGGAAAGCAGGAGTCCGATCAAGCAGTGCGGAGGATGAGATGCACGCCACTGTCCGTGCTGACGACGTCGCTGATCTCGCCGACCTTGAGCGCGTACGTCGCCTCCTCGAACGGCTTCTGCATCTGGCCCTGTGATCCACACCCACTCTGGTCAGCGAATGCCGTTCATGAAGAATGCAAGGGGATTGAGAGCGACGCACCGGCCGGAAGAACCCGAGGTCGCCGCCGTGCGAGTGCGAGCTACAGTCGCTGTACTTGGACGCGAGCTCCGCGAACTTGTCGGGCGAGCCGTTGATCTGCGCGGCGTACTCCTTGAGCATTGCGATCGCCTCCTCCTTCGAGCGAGTGATCTTCGGCTATAGACACACGGAGAAGCTCAGTCAGTACATCGAACGTGCCTTCCCCACGTGTGCCATTCCTCCTCCCATTCCACCTTTGTACATGGTAGACGGCAAACGGAAGAAGACAGACACGCAGAAGGCAGCAATCAAGACACGTACCTCCTTCCAGCTACTCGGCCGCCTGCTATCCCGGTGCTTCACCAACAAATGGCTCGCGCGGACCTGCGCGGGGCGTTCGCCCGCGACCTCGCCGTGGTGGCCGCCGGGGAGGTAATCCTTCGCGCCGGGGAGGGCGGCGATCTGCTCCTGGGTGAGGTCCGGCGGCGCCTCCCACATGGACTCGCGGGTCTCGGTGTTGTAGAAGTAGGGCACGCCGCGGGAGTTGGACATACGGACTTCCCAGGCGGACTGGATGGAAAGCGGGTATTTAGCATATG